TATCAAGTCTGAAGGTTTGTAAAGCAATGTTTTTTCTCATGCCTCTTTTTCTTTTTGCATGTTGCCTATCCAATATGCAAAGTAATTTTCATTTTAAAATTAAAAATACTTTTGTGCATCAAAAAATTTTCAAATTTCACATTTGAATCTTCATAATGTCCAGATAGTTAACAAATGTTCCTTAAGGAAAAACTTTATATTTTAACTCTTATTTTCAGTAACGAATCGCTGTACAGGTTTAGTCGATTTGACCGATATCATAACCATATTAAAAAAATTAGGAAATAAATATAAATTATGCCTTTTTCGTTCTAGAATGAACACAAATTATAACATGAAAACATAAATGTTTAGACTATGTAGCTTAAATCTCATAATATTATACATTTATGTATATTTATTATTTTTATTATTTTTATTATATTGACCTTTCAACCATTCTCGGCTAACAATACAGAAGTTACAACAACGTGGCTCACATGCAGTCATGTTACCGTATCAAATAACATAAAAGTGACCTTTGGTCTGTACAAAGTAACTTCTCCTGGCTGTGTTTTAATAGACTAGTAGTTTGTAAAATACAGTCAAATTTCAATTATTATACATTATATTTGAATATAGATTATTGCTATTTAGAAATAAGTTCTTAAACTTATTTTTCATAAAACATAGAACAGTAACTAAAGAAGTAAAGCAAACAATTATCTCTTCATGTTACAACCTTTGTACTTAGCTGCTACTTGATTTAGGTTGCTAAGCCTTTTAAAATTTTGCACGTGGAGGATATGAAACAAAGTAATTTTTTTTAGGTTTTATATATACATTTGAATAACGAAAAAAAATCATAAATTACTACATCAATACCATAGAATTCTACTATAATTTATCAAGCTTAGTAACTAATCTGTACTTCAGTCTAAAAAAATATGAAATTTTGAACAGATTAAAGACACAACCTATCTCCTTGAAATCTTGGTTTGAAAGAAAGAAATGGCATCCAAACACGTTAAAATGGCTGAGAAAGGCACTATGGGGACATTCTGAGCTTCAAATTGGTTATTCATATCATATATAGAAGTAAGTGTATATAAGGGAGCGTTTCCAAAAATGGAAAAAGGTGGGCGGGATGCCACAATGTTTGATTTATTACATGAGCAATATCTTAGTAAATAGAAAAGATAAGACCTTCTTATTTTATATTCTAGCTTATCAATATCAGTAATTTGAGTTTCTAATTCATACGAAACTACAGACTTAGTATTTTGACATCACAAACCTTTAATTTGAACCAGTGCTGCATTCAAGATACCACGTAACACACAAAAACTGATGTTTATATGTGTTCTTTAATATTTACTTTTAAATTAAGAAACTGAGTAAGATATAATACTAAAATTTGAATTATAATCTACAGTTTGATACCAAATGTATTGACATAAATTCATGAAATAATAGTTCAATAAAATTTTGAATGCAAGTCAACAAACGAGATGACACGACCTTTCACCAATGACCCATCCATAAAATGGTTAATGGGTATTTTGTGGTTTCTGACATGCTGATGTCATCAGCTGGAGTTGGTTGACATGTTTGTAGGACTCTATCTCTCCCTTTTGGTCCTTCTATACCCTGATAGGTCCTTTTTTTCTAAGTCTCTGGTCACCAGGAAGGGGATACATCCCTTTCCACAATTCTTTTGCCACCTGTTTCTCACCTCTAAAATCGATCATTTGTTTTGTCTTGTCAAGCCCAGAGGTGTTATGTGGCTCACTTTAACTCCTTTCATGATGTTAGTTCTGGTCTTTGTATTCTTTGGGATATTTTTGTTTCCAAAGGTTTATTCAAACTTTCTTGGAGGTGGATTTGCAGATATCCATGTTGCATATTATGGAGTTTACTGGCGAGGAATCTTCTGAGAGTTACACCTCATCAACCTCAGCATATTTATGTCTTTCACTGCCCATGTCTTTGATTCAATGGGGACATTTCATGGGCCTGTATGTGAGCTTCTCCTAATGCTTTTTTCTGGCATTCTTTATATGATCTGGGAGTTTTCCACTACCTCCCCCCCATTGATATTTTAACAACATCTGCTAGATTATATGGAAGTGGGAGGAATCCTATCTTGTCTTTCTTTTTCTTACATCTTGCTTTTACTGTTCCCACTCTGTGGCGAATGTTGCCTAGACAGGTGTGTTTTTATCAGTCCAGTTCTGCACTAGCAACCCATTTAACTATACTTACTTCTGGTTGCAACAGACTCTGTAGAAACGATGTGTTCCATAAGACCATCTAGGTGCATTACCAGATGGTATTACCATTTTATCATGGACCGCTACTCATGAAATATTATGAGTACAGTTAATGGGGATCCTGCCTGTCCCTGCCGATCATCAGACAAATCGGGGTCAGTTTGCTTTTAAAACTTAAGGAACTTGGTTTACCTATTGCACTTTTTCCAGAGCACTGTTCCTCAGTACTCCCCAATGCATGTTACCCTTCCTCCCCAGATTCTACTAGTAGAGCTAGGGAGTCCTTACTACACCCTGTTTCCAGTTGCTGGGGTGGTGGACAAAGGCTTTTCTTCCAGAATGTTTGACTGTGTTCCTCCACTCTGGGAGAAGAGGGCGAACCTGGGGGCACTCCTACCCAGGTCCTTGGATGTATTTCCCAGATGTTGGTAGGAGCGGTGCTGGCCTACTTGTAATACTAGTTCAGATTTGATCCTATTCTATCCGGTTGGGGTGTGCTTGGCCCTTCTTATGATCAATGTAGAGTTGTATATTGTTCATTGATGGAGGTCCACTATATCCTCATATTTACGAACACGAAGTGGTCCCATCGTAGGTCCTTGGTTGAGCACAGTTTGTTCCACGTCCTCTCCATAATTCTGGGGGCAAATGGAATGCTACTTGTCCACATGGTTGGAGAGTAAGGATGAATGTTCATAATTCCAGTCCAGATGAGTTCTTTTCTTTTGGTTGAGTAAGGCATGCATGATCCCGTCATTTTGAACCTGGGATGTTGCTTTTCGATCTTCTTCAGGTGGAAGAAAAAGTTTGTCCACTTCAGTGTTGCTTCCTTTCTTTTGGGATATAGAAACCAAGATCCCTTAATTCTAACACCGAGTTTTGGAACCTCGGCTGTCTGTTTGGGGCTGGCCTATATTAATTATTCATGTACTATTCCACCCTTGATATCAATATTCAGTTCTGGGTGAAGAGTATACTTGTTCTGGATGTAGTCTGGTTTTCCCCACTTGGGTACCACTATTATCTTGGTACATCCATGTTCTATGCAGAGGCTTTCTGTATGAATAATGCCCTCACTGGTCCCTCCACCTTCTGAATGGGGGGTTCTAGCAAAAGTGTCAGTGGATGGTATGTTTTAGAAGTTAACATTTTCCTAAACTGAAAATATATTTCCAATAATACTACTTACCTCCGCTGACACTCTTCTGCACTTCCTCCCCACTAAGAGCTGGTGTTAGTGTTGGGAACGACTTAAGTCTCGAAAAAGTGATTACATTATCTGAATGAGGTGCTTATATACCAGGATAGAGGGTGTATTGATGTTGGTGGAGGATTTTGCAAATTAGATATTTCCAAGGGTATTCAAGTGGTGTATAAAAGACCGGAGCAAGTGAGAACAATACTTAGATAGGCAGAGCCAATGTTGAGGAATAGCTAAATTGTTGGTGGAGATAAGTATTATTGGAAATGCATTTTCAGTTTAGGAAATTTGTAATTTAAAAATGTTAGTGGTAATTATACAGCTTCTATGTTTGTATTGTTCTTTTCTAGATGTCCTGTAACGGGTGAATGATAAGTTTACAAGACTTACAATGCTAAAATTTGGGGTTTCATATCCTGTGGTGGGCAATGTGCACTTAGTCTGTTGTGTAGCTTTCCACTAAACTTTTTTCTAGGTATATTATTATATAAACAGTTGGATTTTCCTAAGTATATAATTGTATAAATAAACAGTTTTTTCTAAGTATATAATTTTATAAACCAACAGTTTTTCTAGGTATATAATTTTATAAACCAACAGTTTTTATCTAGGTACATAATTGACATATTTTAGTAGTAATGGGCAGTATTTTCCTTTTTCTTTGGTTATCCTTTTAGTGTGGAATCTTTGCTTGAAGCCCGTAAGGAAGACCCCGAAGAGCTTCTTTTAGCTCTTGGGTTTGGAGGGCAAACAGGAAAAGACTCTGTCTCTCGGATTCCAAAGCGCTTTTTTATGGAACCTTCTCATGCACGAGGAGTAAAAGTTTACAATTTTCTTCAGCAACATGAAAATGTACTGAAAAAACAAGATATTGGATCCTGGGGATTTCTAGGACCCTCAGGTGAGTATTTTGGAAGAATAAGCTGTACTATAGCTGAATATTCCCAGTAATAAATGTACTATAGCTGAATATTCCCAGTAATAAATGTACTGTAGCTGAATATTCCCAGTAATAAATGTACTATAGCTGAATATTCCCAGTAATAAATGTACTATAGCTGAATATTCCCACATTTATTACTGGGAATATTCAGCTGTAGTACATTTATTACTGTAGTACATTTATTACTGGGAATATTCAGCTGTAGTACATTTATTACTGGGAATATTCAGCTAACTACAGCTGAATATTCCC